TCATTTGCATTCCTTGTCTTCCCAACCATTTTTTCCCACTCCTATCTATTCTCTCTTCAGCTGCTTTTATCCTCACCTTTCTAGGTCTTCCAGGTTGTCTAGTGTAGGCTGGGGGCTTTATTGCTTGCTGGTTGGTCTTCTCCCATAGCTGTGATCATTAATTGACATAATGAGATTGTTATAGAGGGCCATGTAACTGTCCTTGCTGTAGTATGAATGCACATAATACTCCACAGCTTTACCTCCTTTGTAATGTATGGCAGCAATTCCATGAGCACAAAGAATGCCTGATGAGTCCCACTTTCTACAAGAACAAGTGTGATTATCCAAATCCACCACATATTGGTCACCTCTTCCTGCATCCACTTGATATTTAGGACCACCATACCACTGCACAGTACAACTACATGCTTCTAGCTTTTTCTGTTGCACATGGTAAAAAATGTTCTTGCATATTTGATGAGGCCAACTGCTCATCTTGTCCCTCCTCCACTGGATCCTTCTCATCAACAAGCACCTGATCATCTTTAGCATTGTGATAATTGGCTTGTCCCTTGCTGTCTTGATATTATCGTTGAAGCTTTCACACAAGTTATTCTGCAGCATATCACACTTAATATGCGTTCTGAAATGAGACTTACTCCATTGTGTTGGTGGCTTCTCAGCAAGCCACTCCCATGCATTGCTATCTAAGGTTATCATTACTTCCATTTGATAGTTAAAACAAGGCACATTGGTAGCTCTAGCACATGTCCATAACTGATCCCTCAATACTTTACCTTTATACGTTTTGTTGAAGTTATCCCAAAGGTGTCTCACACAGAATCTTGTCTCAGCATTAGGCACAATGTCTTCAAGGGCACCAGGCAGTCTTTTTTGCTTGTCAGATATAAAGGCCCATCCATAGGAATTAATAATGTCCACATACTTGGCCAACATATCAATGAACCATGTCCATGACTCCCTTGTTTCCATCTCAACCACAGCATATGCTAGGACCCAAGTCTCGTTATTGGGATCAATCCCAACTGC